GGCGCGGGAGCGAGAAGGCCTGCTGCTGCTGCGACGGCGCCGCCTGGGGCGGATTCCCCGCCGCCGACGCCGCGGAGGAAGAAGCAGGGGGCGCGCCGGCCCTCCCGCCGCCGCTCCTGGTCCGAAATCGAACCGCCGCACGTTTCAGCGGCAGCAGCGGACGGGGATAGGGGGGAGGGAAACGGAGGGGGGCCGGTCTTACCGGGGCGGGGGGAGAGAGACGGCGCGGAGGTCGCACGCGCTGTTGGTCCCGCGCTTCATCGGCTCCTCCTCCCTTCCCTTCCCCGGCGAGACGGCGGCGATGGCCGGCGAGGAGGAGCGGAGCACCAGGAAGGAAATTTGAACCAGAGGGAGGGAGTTGCATCCTTGATGGTGATGCTGCTCACTCATCTAGTCGGTGCCACGAAAACCAGCCGAGTTATATGGACCGTTGGATGGAGCCATGGATAGCCGTCCGATCTATCCCACGTGAGCAGTGCCAACCTCTCTGCAACAAGAGCATTGTTGCAATCAGCCGAACCAATGTTGTTTTCCTTCCGAAACACATCATTTGTTGCAAAGACAAAACCCCTTTTTGAAATTGGGCAGCTACTACAAGGAGGGAGAATTGAGTTTGTTGCGGCACCTGACTGAGTTGGGGAGTCCTCCGCCGTCGGGAATATGCTTCTTTGTCATAGTCGCAACAGGGGATCTGTGGGGATGCAGAAGTCACGACGATCCCCTCGCCCTTGTCAATCACCGTTGCAGGGGGAGTCTAGATGTCGCCTACCCTCGCCATCGTAGGTCGCCACCCCTACCCTTGCCACCGTCGGTCGCCGCTGCGGGGCACCCAACGCATGGCCGGCCTGCAACCCCCTTGTTGCGGTCAAAAGGATTGCAACAGGGTCCCACTAGTAGAAAAATGACCTAATGTGAGACACATTAGTCTAGGTTCAATTTTGGCCCGGTACTAATGGTACCATTAGTCCCGGTTCGAACGGCTATGCATTAATGCCGGTTCGTGTTGAACCTTTAGTATCGGTTCGTGCCACTAAAGGGATGGTGGCAGGCTGGCGTCAGGCCGGGGCCCCACGAGCCCCTTTAGTCCCAGTTCGTTGCACAAACCAGTACTACATGGTTCTTCAGCAGAGACTAAAGGGCCCATTTTCAAACTCTATCCCCCCCCCCGATCGCCTTTTTAGTTTTGTAAAAAGAAAAAAAAATGATAAAAACTTTAAAACTTAAAATTCTTCGAGATGTAGTTATGTTACTACATCTACTAGTTAGGAAAATTAAAAAACTTAAATTTAGACATGTTTTACAAAAAAGTGTTATGAAAATGTAAAACGGCCATATCTTTTGCATACGATGTCGAAAAAAACCCGCATAATATATCAAAAAAATCAGCACAAAAATCCGCATCCGGTTTTGACTACATCTATTTAGAATGCTCAAATTTAAGCTTTTAAGCTTTTTAGAATCCTCAAATTCTAAAAGAAAAAAAGATATGCCCAAATTTAAGATTTTTTGAATTTTGGTCAAACTGTGGTCAAACTACTTATTCAAGAAATATTAGTGTTACTAAATAATTATTCAAGAATTTTAGTGTTACTAAATAATTATTTCAGTTTTTTTGAATTTTGGTCAAATCTGGTCAAACTGTGGTCAAATTGTGGTCAAACTATGGTCAAACTACTTATTCAAGAAATATTAGTGTTCGTAAATAATTACTATTTTTAGAATAATAGTTTCAAACTCAAACGGTGAAACGTGTGACCTAATGCTCAAGCTAAACTCATGAGGGTTAATAGGATTGACAGCTTACATTTGTCAGAAAAACAACAACTGCAGACTTGAAAAGTAGGGGGAATAGAACTCCGAAGTTAAGCATGCTCAGGCTGGGGTAGTGAGAGGATGGGTGACCGGCCGAGAAGTTAGACGATTTGGAATGAGTAATCCACACTTGAGCAGCGAAGAGGGATGATTAGAGACTAAATCATCAAATAATTCAGAAAATTGAAAATAAAAAAAACAAATTTTCTTTCCTAAATGCCCCCCATACCACGGCGCACCACGTGGTGGGCCTTTAGTGGCGGTTAGGTGCCGAACCGGTACTAAAGAGGGGAGGGCGGCCTTTAGTCTCCATCCTTTAGTGTCGGTTCCAGAACCGGCACTAAAGGCCCTTACAAACCCCTAATAAAGCTCTGTTTTCTACTAGTGTCCAGTCGCAAACCTGGACTATGTTAGAGATTACACTGAAGCCGTCCGAGAAAAAATAGAAGGAGCTCCTTTAGTCTCGGTTTGTGACAAAACCCGGGACTAAAGGGCCAACCTATAGTCCCACAAACCGGGACTAAAGGGCAATTTTCAAACTCTACGCCCCCCCTTCTATTGCCTTTTCAGTTTTGAAAAATACAACAAAAGAAAATGATAAAAACTTCAAAAAATAAAATCCTTCGAGATGTAGTTATGTTACTACATCTAGTAGTTAGGGAAATTTAAAAACATAAATTTCTGACATGTTTTGCAAAAAAAGTGTTATGAAAAAGCAAAACGATCATATCTTTTGCATACGATGTCAAAAGAACGCATAATAAATCAAAATGTCCAGCACGAAAATCCGCATCCAAATTCGACGACCTTAGGCCGTTTTGCAAATTTTTAGAATCCTCAAATTCTTAAAGGAAAAAAGTTATGCTCAACTTTCAGTTTTTTGAATTTTGGTTAAATCTGGTCAAACTGTGGTCAAACTATGGTCAAACTACTTATTCAAGAAATACAAGTGTTACTAAATAATTATTTTAGTTTTTTTGAATTTTGGTCAAACTGTGGTCAAACTATGGTCAAATCTGGTCAAACTATTTATTCAAGAAATATTAGTGTTACTAAATAATTATTGTTTTTTAGAATAATAGTTTCAAAAAAAAGTGAAACGTGTGACTTCATGCTCAAGCTAAACTTCTGAGGGATAATATGATTGACAGCTTATTATTGTTAGGTAAACAACAAGTGCAGACTTGGAAACTAGGGGGAATAGAACTCGGAAGTTAAGCATGCTCAGGCTGGAGTACTGAGAGGATGGGTGGACCACCCGGGAAGTTAGACGATTTGGAGCAATGATGAGGGGTGATTAGAGATTAAATCGTCAAATAATTCAGAAATTTGAAAATTTGAAAAAAAATCATTTTTAAAAAAAAATTAAAAAAAGGCCTCCCACCCTGAGCGCGGGCTCGTGCCACGTGGTGGGCCTTTGGTCCCGAGTCGTGCTGAACCAGGACTAAAGGGGGGACCTTTAGTCCCCACCCTTTATTGCCGGTTACAGAACCGGGACTAAATGGCCTTACGAACCGGGACTAAAGGACGTTTTTCTATCAGTGTTTGTCCGTCGCCGGATGGGGAGCGCCGCTGCCGTGCCATGCGGCCCTGCTCCAGCATGCTTGCCGTGAGGCACCTCCCGTGGGGCTCCCACTTCCAGCTCCCCATGGCGGGACCGACGGTCTGCCCGCGCCTGACCTCGGGGGCTTTGGACCAGGTTGTAGGGTCTCTCTGGGGCCGCATAAGAGGGGCCGACAAATGACGGAGCCAGCGGGTATTCAATACCCACGGTCGTTGAGCCAAAGAAGATGAGCTTCGGCTCTGGTGGCGGAGCCGGAGCGAGCGAGCGGCGGCGGCATGGTGCAGAACG